AATACAGGTCTTTGAAGATTTTTACGAGAAATTATATGGAAGTAGACTAGAAGATCAAACAGGAATACAAACAGACCTTTAAAAGAAGCTCACGAATCAAGGTTCCAAACAAATACCAGAAATAAAGATAGATGAGATTTGACAAGCGTTAAAAGAAATGAAAAATTACAAAGCTCAAGGTAAGGATAAAATTTTAATAAAAGCTATCATAAATGAAAGAGATATGCTATGGAATAAATTAAGGAAACTATTTAATCTATGTTTTCACCAAAGGGGTGTGCCCAAATAATGGAGCAATTCCATAGCCACCCTTTTGCATAAAAATAGTTATAAATAATAGACCAAGAAAATTTATAGACCTATTAGTTTGTTGAACCACATGTACATGTACAAGCTCATTGAAAAATCTATCGAGATCGAATATAACAAACCTGTTGTCGTCACTTTCATAGATTTTTATAAAGCGTTCGACACGATCGAAATAGACAGCCTTATAGAAGCAATGAATGACACCAGGATTGGCCATAGGTATAGTGAACTTATTTACAATATTTACAAAAATGTCACTATGACTGTTAAGATACACGATAAAATCCAACCAAGTTTATGACAAATATGGTCCTCAATAACCATTTAACTATTTAAGACAAGATTGTAGAACTGGTGAAGAAATATACTTGTTTGGGTAATAAAATAATAATCAGCAGGGATAACCATATATATACAATAATTTCCACAGCTTTCACTGTATTCCATCACTCAACCGTTTCTTTTAATTTTTTCTGTTTACCAAGTCCTCTTCCTGTAGGTTTCTTCTTCTCATTGCTTCGTCCACTTCATCTCTGAAAGATCTTCGGGGTCTGCCTCTCTTTCTTCTTCATATCGGGCTCCACTCTGTTATTCTATTTATCAACTGATTTTGATCTGCTCTTCTGACATGTCCGTACCAGGTTGTAATAAATAATGTTGTGGGGTAGTAAATAATGTGTTGTTAACTTAGTTACCCATTTTATTAATCACTGCTTGTACAATCTTTCACTATTAATTAATCTTTAATATATCAGTACTAATTGACGCTGACTATATGCGGCATTAACTTGCCATTTTGGACGGTACATTCATTAAGACCCCCGAGAGAATGATTGTTGGGGCTTTTATAGTAGTCCTTGCTATATCAGCAAATGTTTACTTATATTAGTATGTCAAGTTTGTTCATGACCTACGCCAAGCATGTGGTGATCCGCAATAGTGCTGACTACCAATTCTAATTAGAGTATGTTATTTATGAATGTCCTCGATTTAAACTACCAAGCATATTCATATAAACAAGATGCTAAATGTTACACGAGTATGAACTACAATATTTTATATATGTGAATTCTAATATTTAAGGAACAACACCACAAGGTTAACCTCTTCTGTTCAATGTAATCTATTATGTCGGAGTTCATTCCCATTCTCCTCTTAATCTCCATGTTATTAGTCTATCTCTTCTTGTTACTCTGCAGCTTCTCCTTAGGAATTCCATCTCTGTTGCTCTTATTTTGTTTTTGGTTTTGTTATTTATTGTCCAATTTTCAAACTCATAAGTGAGGATACTTCTTGTCATGGTATTATATATTTTTTTCTTTGTTTTCATGCTGATGTTCTTATCCCATAGTACCGGGTTCAATTTTTTTATGCAGTCTCTTGTTTGTCCTAGTCTATTTTTTATATCTTCCTCCGTTGTTCCTTTGTTTAATATTATGTAACCTAAATACTTATACTTGCCTGTTCCTTTGATTTATGTTACCTTCGTCTATTTCCAGCTTTTTTATTTCTGTATTCTCCGTTGTTAGGTATTTAGGTTTCTTTAGGTTCATTTCCATCCCATTCTTTGTATATTCCTGCTCCAGTTTTCTCATCATAAAACTAAGGTCATCCTCGTCTTGTGCGATCACTATTTGGTCGTAAGAAAACTTAGCGTATATAGATATTCGTTCCTTACTGGTATACCCATTCCTTCGCACTTTCTTCTCCATGGTTTCAGGGTTTTTTCCAGGAATATTTTGAACAGCGTGGGGGATGTGGAGCAGCCGTGTAGTAGTCCCTTTGTCGTTTTAAATGGACTGCATATTCTATTGCCCGTTTTATGCGGGATAACCAGATATGCGAAATTCAAAGACGAATTACTTTAGCGTGGGCAGCCTTTGGAAACCTGCGAGACACACTTAGGGCAAACATAGCAATTAGCCTTAGAAGAAAAGTATTTGACCAAAGCATATTACCGATAATGACCTATGGGACGGAAACTAGGAGTCTAACCAAAACTACGGCTTCGAAATTGAGGGTGGCACAGAGACGAATGGAACGGTCAATGCTGGATGTGACGTTGCGGTACCGAATAAGAAACAAAGATCTGCGAAGAAAGACGAGCATTGCTGATGTTGTGGAATGAATACAAGAACTAAAAGGAACTCGGCAGGCCATGTAACGAAAATGCATGACTCACGATGCACGAGCAAAATCACAAATCGGTAACAAAGAGCACAAAATCAAAAGGAATGGAGGAGTTTAAGGGAGGTCAATGTTCAGTCAATGGACGTGATAAATGAAGGCTGTATCATGATGACGATGAATAAATCTGGTATTAATAGATAGTTCTTGAAGTACAGACCAATTTGTACTGGGTGCTGTCCATGGATTTAGTAATATATGTATACCCACATTTCACAGAAGCTAACTCTATTTGCGTCAGCTTTCTTATGGGTCCATGTCTAATAGACAATCTCAGTGCACGTTCAAGGCAAAGTTTCGTTACTTTTGTTCTTTTTCACATCCGCCATGATTTATTAATATGAATCCTAGATACTTGAACTTTTCCATTACTTCGTATCCCGCTATGCCTGTAACTTTTGCTTGATTATTTATAGCTCGATCTATTATTATAAATTCGGTTTGTTTCACTGATTGCTAGTTCGTGTTGTTGACATATGTAGTTAAGCTTCTTCATTATCTGTTTAGTTTTTTTCTAAAATGCAGATAATATTAGGGTCTTCTTTTTCTGGGTAGACACGTAGTCTTAGAGAAAATTTCGAATATGACACTATATTTATGATAAAGTATGTACTATCTGATTTAGTTTCAAAATAATGTTGGTATTGTTACTTCTCACTATAAGAAAAATTAACAGTCATACTCTTTTCTAAATTTACGATTAATCCATTTGTATAGTACCAAATTGTATCTCTTGGATAGATCTTTCGGACCTTAAAACACTTCGACAGGTATTTCACGTACAAAAGAGAAAGTAGCAAACCAATTATTTCTCCTTAAGGAGTTTCTGGGTTATTGTAAAATATCAGAGTAACCATTATTTATTGCAACATAAAATAAATAATTTGAAACATATGTAATGATCCATGAATTTACCTGATCTCTGGTACTAACTACTGCCTCCAGATTTTCTCATCTGATTTCTAATCTGATTTCAAAAAGTTAGAAGCCCGAAATAAATTAAAGTGCAAACCATATGTATAAACTTTTGTCGATTTTTTTATTAACAGAGTGTAGAAATTTTAAAGTAAAAATAAAAAATAAGTGTATGATTAGATTTTAGTTTTTTATACCTGTTATCAAGTAATTTCTGCCGTTTTTGTATTATTTAATATATTTTTTATATAATCTACCAGTTCTTCGTATACACGTATTTGGTTTATAAATCATTCATCTAAAGATCGTTCTTCTTCTGGTTCCCATCCGTTTCGGATGTTGCAAATCATATTGGCAAAGCATAACCTGACTCGCTGCGGCTCGAAACAGCCCCGTTGAGGTTTTCTTAAACCATGTTCTTAAATTCCGCAGCCATGATATTCTCCTTCTACCGGGTCCCCGCTTACCTTTGACTTTACCTTGCAATATGGACGGTGTAGCAGGGAGTAACGGTGCTGATTTCTCATAACGTGTCCCAGATATTGCAATTTTATGCGTTTGATCGTAAACACAATCTCTGGTTCCTTCTTCATTTTTCCTAGAACTTCCTTGTTCGTATCCTTGCTGTCCATGATATTCTCAGCATTCTTCTATTAAGCCACATCTCAAATGCTTCAAGTTTTTTAATAGTGGTGTCTGTAAGCCTCCATGCCTCCGCCCCGTACAACAACACAGAGAAAACATAGCATCTCAAATGTCTCATTTTTGTATCAAGAGATATGTTGTGACTTTTGAAAATGGCGCATATTTTGTTAAAGACCGTTCTTGCCTTTTCCTATGCGGCACTTTATTTCCTGTAAATTGCTCCACTGTTCGGTAATAATAGTTTCCAGGTAACAATACTGGTTTTACTTGTCTAATCTGCGTCCCATTAATGTATAGATTAGCCCCGTTTATATTCTCCTTGCTGATAATCATTTGATTGGTTTTGTGGTTATTAATGTTTAGTTCGTACTGTTGACTGTACTCGTTTATTCTGTCCATTAGCCTCTGAAGTCCCTCTAAACTATCTGCTATCACCATGGTTCGTCGGCATATCTAACATTGTTTACTCTTTCACCATTTAGAAGGATGTCTTCGTCTATTCCGTAAAGAGCCTCGTTAAAAAATTTTCTCTGAGTACATATTAAATATCAACGGCGATAGGATACATCCCTGTCTAACTCCACGTATTATTTTTATGTGATCTGTTTCTTCTCCGTTAATGTTCATGTATGCGGTTTGATTCCAGTAGAGTTCTGAAATTATTCTGATGTCTTTGTCATCCAGGTCTGCCTCTTTTAAAATGTTTATCATCTTTTGATGTTGAAAATCATAACATATTGTATTTAATTATAAATACAATCATATTGTATTTATAGGATCCTAAAGATCATAGCATATTGTATTTAAAACTAATTAGTAAAAAATCTTATTAAGTAACTACTGCTTGTTAAGTATTTTATTTTTCTTTTTAAGGTATACATGCCTAAAACGTAAGCATCACAAGGGGCCAATACTCAAGTACCTAGAGAGCTAGACTGATCAAAATGGCAACAGATTCTACATCACTCAAATCAACCTCAAGCAGCAAACCCAGAACTCCAGGAGTGGACACTGGTAAAAAAGTAGGCTTTGCTAGACCTACGTTGATCATTCCTCCCCCTCAAGCATATTATCCGCCGCAGTTCGGTGCATATACTCCTGGAGGAATAAGCAATCATTCCCATCATTCTCATGGACACCCACATTATGCATATGGAAGAAAAGCATCGATGTTTATGATGCATCAGTTTGACGGAATCAAAGACTTTGCTAAATCTGGTTTAGGAATTGGTGAAAAGTGTTCATATTGGTGTTATGGCAAGGTAACGAAATTAAGCAAAAAATGGTTTACACATTGCTTCCTGTCTATAGTGCTGGGGTTATACACTGTTGGAGGAGCTCTTTTGTTTATGTACGTAGAAGGTAAGACTAAAATATGCTTGATGTGCTTACAAATACTACTAATTTTTATTTACCACAGTACTAACAGGGCAATTTTATTAAACTATCTAATAATACCCGAAATAGAAAAAATACTTTGAAAAAATACAATTTTTTTGCTTTCTTATTTAAATGATGTAACGTGTAAAGACAATAGGAAATAATACAAATGATCATAGTAAGATTTATGTACTTTTCCTAATGAAAGAACTAAAAAATATTTTAATCACATGCGCCTGTATTTAGTTTATTTAAAACTGATAATAAAAAAATGTTAGTCCTACTTCCCCTCTACTTCACTTTTGGACTTGTGCCGTTGGTGGATTTTTATGTTTTAGTGGTGAAAACTATCACTACTAAAAACAAATCGTGTAATTGTATATAAAATCGGGTAATTTATTTAAATCATTTTTTTTCACAGTAAATGCATGTCAATTAACCTTAAAACACGTAATTTAAGATTTTAACACAGTTTAACCCCTAAATATTACCCACTAGTTTAGTTATAAATAAAATAATGTCATTGAATACCTTGTCTCCACTTGCATGGAAATTTGGATTAATGTTAAACTTACCCTTCACTTCAAAATTTAAAATCCCCTATTAGAAAAACATCAGATAATCGTAAATTCAAGCAATTTGTACTTATATAATTCTACAGTGACAAAATATTTAGATTTCAATATTCTTTTTTTCTTCTTATTTAGATAGTTCTTTAGATAATATATCTTTCCTGTTTTAATTTTTACCATATATTTTTAACTCTTATAAAAACTACCCATTGCAAGGAAAATCGAATAGTTTTTTTTTTTATTGAAACTGTAAGTACAATAATTTCTTTCATTATAATGTTATGAATTTGTTCCACATCAACCTAAAAAAACCCTTATTAGGTTGTAAGAAGGGCTAACACTATGTATATACATTATTAGTACCTTATATATATATATATATATATATATATATATATATATATATATATATATATATATATATATATGTATAATATATATATATATATGTATATATATATATATATATATATATATATATATATATAATATATGTATATAAAAGTCGAGGACAGTAACGGGCTACTAATAAACAACAGACAGTTGAGGGTAACCGGGAACGACCCAATACTAAGGAAGCAATAAAAAACGGATGCTTCAAATTGAGTGTCTCCTAATAAAACACAATCTTTCGCCACATAATTTTGGGCTTCATCAGAACTTGCTGTAATGGAAAAACATTCTTTACAATCATCATAATTCAAGATGTTATTTTTAATATTACATTAATGTGATATTAAATAAATGAAATTCAATAAAGTCTAATAATGTGACTGAAGAAAGTTAGTGTCTTATACCAAACAAAAAGAAGAAGTAATTAAGACAGGTGCCGTATCGATAAGTGACAGTCGACATGACTTAATTAACAATTGTATTGTCAAAAATAATGCCGGCCACATGGTGATATATTTAAATATAATAAATTTAATTATTTAGCACCTGATTTGGCTTTGTTTGCCATCTTCCTCTAGTTAGGAGATGCGTTTTGGTTTGTGTTTGGAAAACAATGTGTAGTTCCACATCTAGAATAATTTACACTAAGTTACACTAAGAAATAGTGTCAACGTTAAGGTAATATTAAAAATAGCATCTTTAATTATGATGATTGTAAAGAATATTTTTTACAGTAGGTAAGTTCTGATGAAGCCCAAAATTATGTGGCGAAAGATTGACTTTTAATAAAAGACACTCACTTTGAAGCACCCGTTTTTTGTTACCTTCAATTGTCTGTTATATATATATATATATATATATATATATATATATATATATAATATATATATATATATATATGTATATATATATATATATTTATATATATATATATATATATATATATATATATATATACATATATATATATAAATATATATATATATATATATATATATATATATATATATATTTATATATATATATATATATATATATATATAATATATATATATATATATATATATATCTTACAATGCTCCAGTATACGCGTTCTGATATCTCCTAAAATATGCGATGTGTTTTATTTATAACTCGGTCAGCTTTTAAGTTATAAATTACTTAAACTAACCAATTCTTAGAACTTTTAGAAGCAATAAGACTATTTAAATTAAATTTTTTTAAACCCTTATTGTTAAAAGGTTTGTAGTTAAAAGGGCTTGAGGGAGTTCTAATCACGAATCAAACTTTTAAAAGCAATATCTTAACCAATTTTTATCTTACAGAAAAACGAAAGAACCGAACTATTCACAAAGCAATATTCAAATTGTTTTTTCAAAAGCTTTTTCGTATTACTAATACTGATTATTAAGTTATTTTTAAAAATAGGCATTAATTTCAAAATTTAAAAAATTTTTCTTTTAGTTTAAAACTTTTTATAAAATAAAACCCTTTTAACTGATCCAACTTACAGATCATATTTATAAACAATACACAAATAAAGCAAATTGTGAAACAGTAACGATTAACCTTTTAAGGAGCTAATTAGGGGGAGATTTTTAAGATGTTTTTATAAAAAAGGAGGTTAACTTTATTTTAAGCTTAACTTGCTTAGTATTGTTGCTAGAAACTAAAAAAAAAACAAAAATAAAGCTTTCTTTAAATACTTTCTAAACGTAACTATGACCTTTCTCCGAAAGCTCTTAATGTGTTGATTATATTACGTTAAAATATTCGGTTTGAATTTTGACAAATGAAGGGCTGGGTGTGTAAATAATGGTATCTGACAAAATTGTCGAAATTAAGTTTTTGCATGAAAACAATGGTATATGCAGTTCTAAACAGGAATCTGTTGATATTTCGTTACTAGTTTAAAAGATGGCGCTGTAAATAAGTTGCAAATGGCAGCTAAGTGACATCGAATTTGCGTAAATAATGGTATGTGTAAAACATGGTGTCTAACGATCAGCTGGATCAATGTTTTGTTGCCAAAAATAAAGATATTTTAAGCGAAACTTTGCTATACAAATAGTGATAGCGAGTTTTATGATTCAGATAAAGACCCGGAATATATGCCTAACGATAAAAATGGGCCAATAAAGGTAAGAAATTTGACATATTATCGAATAAACTACACTGCATGTAAACAATGGTAAGTGAATTCAGATACCATTTTTTACACGCATGTAGATATTTGGTTATTTGCATGCTAGTTCTATGTACACATAAATCTATATTTTCTTTTTTCTTGCAGAAATCTAAGATAGCATGTGAAATTCCATCAACATTGTTAGACCAGAATATAAATGAGGAAAATTTGACACGACAAACAACAACACAACACAACAAACAGTTACACTGAAAAGAAAGGAGGAAAACGTGGAGGTAAACGTGGAAATAAAAAACAAACCAAAGAAAAGTTTATAGGACCAGACTGCTGTTGTAGAAATAAATGTTTTACACTTTTATCCGAAGATGAAGTAAAACATTTTTGAGACGTTTTTTAAACTGAGCAACTTTAGTATCTGCATAGAGCTAATACTTAAAGCTCGTAGTACTACTAAAAATACATCTTCAAGGCGAAGTCACACCACATAAGGTCCTCTATTACTGGTAAATTACAAATTTGAAAGAAGGCATTCTTAAGCATACATGGGTTACAAAACAATGGAGGAAGAGTTGAGAATGTTGTAAAATCTATGAAAATTGGTTTATCAACTTCAAAGATGGATGGTAGGGGTTCACACAAAAATCATTAAAGAAAATATACTAATCAACAAATTGATTTTGTCAGGTGTTTCATTAAATCATTACCTAAGTACGAGAGCTACTACTTTCGTCAAGATAATACTAGCACATATTTCATGACATTAGAATATACTGTAGAGAAGTGTTATGCTGTTTATAAGCAAGAATGCATACGACAAATCAGCAAATGTGTATCTTCAGACAAATTTAGACGTATATTTACCAAAGAATTTATTATTAAGTTTAAAAACCCACAAACAGATACCTGCGGTGTTTGTGACAGCATAAACGTCGCTCTTAAAAATGCCGCTTCCAAAACTGATGAAGGCGCTATACAAGAACTAAAATTTAAATAAGAATTGTGTCACCGAAAAGCCAAATCTGGCCAATACGCCATCAAAGAAGCAACTCTGGAAGCCTTAACATCTGATGGAATTTATGCTTTAACATTCGATCTTCAGCAGGCTCTGCCAACTCCTAAATTATCGACAGGGCCAATCTTTTACAAGAAGAAGTTGTTTTGTTACCATTTTAGCATCCATAGTTTGTATCCCTTTTCATCCCATGATATAAAAGGTTTCACACTTATTGCCATTTCTGACAACTGCAGTGGACAAAATAAGAATTGGTCACTTGCCTAAGTTTGGATTCGTCTAGTAGCAGAAGGCCGTTTCAAAGAAATTGTTCATGTGTTTCCTCAAGTTGGACATACAATGCTTTCTTCAGATCGAGATTTTGCCCTAGTGGAAAAATATATTAGAGCTCACTGCCAATATGTATATTTTCCAAAGGAATGTGAAGCAGTTTTACTAGCTTTACAGAAAAAAACACCATTTCTAGTATATTGTATGAAACAGGAAAACTTTTTAAAAATTCCTGATATGCGGAATTATTTCCAACAGCCAAAACCATCTGACAATCATCAGATGAGTATCCGAAACGCTGTTAGAATAAGATTTTCAGCTAAACATCTTGATATGATAAAGTTATCGAACTCATATAGTGGCCATTTTACTAGTTTCTCAATTAAAAAAAGAGGCAGACCGGTTCGATTTAAAGAACAGTTTCTCAACAAACTAGAAAGTAAATATGAAGCTAAGCTTCCCATTGAGTCTGGAAAACTTGAACATGTGCTATTGTGCCTACAATGGATACCCTCAGTGCATCATGACTATTATACCAATTTACGTGTTAAATCCAATGCTTGAATTTTAAGTTTTGAATTATTTTTTAGTTAAGGATATATTTTCTTCAAAAAACTTTTATTATTTATGTAACTTACTTTTAAATAAAATAATGCAAACAATGGTATCTACTGCAGTGTCTTAATTAAAAAAGTGTAAATATTGCTATCTACTGCATGTTTTTTTCAAAAATTCTTGTAATATCTTTGAAAAAAATCCAGTGCACACAAATTTGTTACTATACTTTCGAATTGTATTACTGCACTTTCAGTCTCAAATTTGTCATAATTAGAGTATATATTTCTTACATAAGATTTTTGATACTTTCAAGAGTGTCTTCTTTAACATTTAAAAAATGTCACATACCATTTTTTACACCCGAGCCCTTCAAATAAGAACCTACTTTTCATGAGCTACAACTTTGCTTCTACTACTGTCACAGCCCCAGTTAGAATGCAGTGTTGGTCTTACATAGCGCAGCAATGCCGCTCATGTCGGCTCTGGTAGGTGGTAGTAGGTGGTAGTAGTTTGGCGATGGTCATAGTACGGCCTGCGACTTAGTATTCTTATTTTAGTTTTCTTATGATATTATTTATATCATAAGAAACCATGAACCACCATGGATGACAGAAAACGTAAAAGAAATGATACAAGAAAAGAACAAATTATATAAAAAATGGCTAACAAATAAAACATCTAGCAATAGAGTATCATATCAAATGAAAAACGGAGAAGTACGCCAGCAAATAAAAGAAGCAAAAAACAATTTCTGGGAACAAAAATGTGTCCAAGTTGAAAATTTAATGGGTGGTTCTCAGACAACGGAAGCATGGAGAACTATCACTAATCTAAAGAAGATTGGAATATATGGGAGAAGAATACAGTATGGAGAGACAAACAAATAGTAACATTAATACTATCAGCAACGAGGTCCGTACTGCGCTAATTAAAATGAAAAACGGGCGATCTTCAGGACCTAGCAATATAGCTGTAGAGCTACTTAAAGCAGGAGGTCCACTCCTAATCGAACGAATAACTTTTCTAATGAATCAATGCTGCCAACAAATTAAAATACTATCTGAATGGAAAACCGCTCACCAAGTGTCCATCTTTAAAAAGGGTAATCGAAAAGATCCTAACTGCTACAAAGGATTGAGTGTCCTACCTACTTTCGGCAGATTGTTTGGAAAGATAATAAATAGAAAAATACAAGATGATGTAGGACATCTAATTAGCGAAGACCAAAGCGGATTTACACCTGGTAGATCTTGCACTGATAACTTGTTTATACTCCAACAATTAATAGAAAAAAGAATAGCGGTTGGTAACGAAGTACATCTAGCCTTCATTGATCTAGAAAAAGCGTATGATACAGTACCAAGGCTAAATTGTGGCAAGCTTTACAACAACTCGGCATTAGTCCACAGCTTTTAGGAATAATCACAGAAGTATACAGGGATAACACTACTTACCTAAAAATCGGAAATAGACTATCAGAGCCGATAAAAGTAACTAAAGGACTGAGACAAGGATGCAGTATGTCACCTTACTGTTTATTTATATATTGAGGCAGCCCTTCAAAATTGGAAAAACCACTGCCAGGGAATGGGAATCCCAATAGGAAATGACGTACTGTTCTCCTTAAACTTTGCGGATGACCAAGTCGTTCTAGCTCAAGATTCTTATGATCTAGAATTTATGATAAAGCGTCTATACAGAGAATATGTAAAATGGGGGTTAAAAGTCAGCATGAAGAAAACGGAATATCTAGTTATCAATTCAGATGCAAGGTTTGAAGTGTTGATAGACGAGGACGTGGAAATCACACAAGTGGAAAAATTTAAATATTTAGGTGCATTCATTGATAAGAACGGCTTGAAACCGAAATTAACACCGAATTAATCAGGGACGTAAAATTGTAGGATGTTTGAACTCCTTATGGTGGGATCGCAACATTTCCAAAAGGAACAAAAAAAGAATAGGGCAAACGATGGTTGAATCAGTTCTTTGTTATGGCTCTGAAGTATGGACAATTAATGCAGACCTGAAAAGAAGATTGTTGGCAGTTGAAATGGATTATTTGAGAAGAAGTGCTAGAACATCAAGGCTGGAAAGGAAAACCAACGAATCTATAAGAAATCAGATGAATGCTACAGATACGGTCATAGACAGAATAGAAAGAAGAGGTTTAAAATGGTTTGGACACCTGTTAAGAATGCATGACGAACGTTGGCCCCAAAAACTTCACAGATGGAAGCCCCCTGGAAGAAGAAAAAGAGGTAGACCTCGACGCTCATGGAATGAAGGTATTAGAAGAGCAATGGAATCGAGAGATTTGGAGGAGGAGCATGCCTTGGACCGAGAGGATTGGCGGAGGAGGACGGGAATACGGCGATAGCCGTCTCCAAGATGTATGCTATTTAAAAATTGAATCCTGTAATATATATATATATATATATATATATATATATATATATATTATATATATATATTTATATCATCTTAATTTTGTAACCTCTGTCTAAATATATTTTAAAGAGAGTACGAGAAAGATAACACCCCTATCTCAATCTTTAGGTTTTATTTAATAGGGTGTTGCCGTTATTTCCTATTTTAGTTCTAGACCGACTATACCTATAATAGTTGTGCGGATTAATAAAAATTGTGACTATAATAGTTTCTGCGCGATCTTCTTTTCAATATCTATTAAAACTACGTCTATTTTTCTATTTTGCTATACCCCTTTTTCCAATTTCATTTTTAGTATAAATATTTTATGTATTAGAGTAGATGTTCTTATGCGAAATGTTTCTTTTTCGTTCGGTTGTTTATTCGCAGTGTATTCCTTAATCAATTTAAGAATAGATTCTTCCTACCATTGGTATTACCGCTATACCAGTTTTAAGCCTTGAGTCGGCTTTTTTACATTTTTTTGTGAATAGCGACATATAAAACTGTCTTCATTCTTCCAGAATATCCTCATTTAGGTATCTTTGGAACAGTTTGAAGAGCATTTCTAGTAATTTTAATGGGTCAAACCATACCAGATCTGGATATATTCCTCCTGATTTAAAAATTTCTGCAGTTATGTTTCTTTTAAGATTCCAAACTTAAAGCTTTAAACAAATTGTCACTTTTATTAAATGTTCATTATATGGATCTTAAGGATTATCTTCTTAATCTTTCATTGCAGCAAAATTCAAGACGTACGTGCTCGCACACGGTCTAGAATTCCGAGTTCTGTCATTTTTAATTTTGATGGAATTTTCTCTGATTTCCACCAATTGTTGGGGGAAAGATTATTAAATTCCTTTCCCCGTGCGTGTACAGTTCCAAATAATTTAAGACCATGGACTGTACAAGAGTTTTTCCTTCGATATATACAAGCAGACTTCACGGCGCTGGTTCTTTATGTGTTTGGTTTAATAGG